ACCGTACAGAAGATTGAGCATAATAAAAAGCATGAAGGAATGCCTTATTTGCACCTTTTGGTTGTTACACATTAGTGGAAAATATTCTGATTAATTTCACTATATTGTCATTGCTTTGACAACATAAAAATCCTTAGCAAAAAAACATGGTAGGTTGCTTATTTAAAGCAACAGATATAAGCATTAAGTTCTTGTACTGATGTAAGATTTTTGCTCTAGCATTCTGGCCTTATCAGGATTTCATCATGACTCTGTATTGCTCTTTATGTTGATTAGTCTACACACATCTGGCAACATACAGCTCAGTTTTTTCTTAAACTCTCTGAATTTTGGAATTGCTACCATGACTGCTGTACATATAATTGAAAATTGTCAGCAGTATTAATTCATGCAAGTTGGCAATATCAGTAGTATGTTTTCGTATGGTTGTTCAAGGTATATAATCAGTAAGTATTTACAGTGAAGGATCATGAATTATACATTACTTTCTACTAATATTTAGATCGTCACCGTAAGGATACCTTAAAGGAAGTCAGTTTTTTTTTACATAGATTGAATTTGCTACAATGACTGCTGAACATACTATTAAAATTGTCTCAAGTATTAATTCATGTATGCTAGCGATATCAGTAGTATGCTTTCCTCCGATTGTTCAAGATGTATAAATAAGTATTCATAGTGAAGGATCATGAATTAGACGTGTTACTTTCTACTAATATTTAGATCGTCACCGTAAGGATACTTTAAAGGAAGTCAGTTTTTTTGTAGCCTTGCATAGATTGAATTTGCTACAATGACTGCTGAGCATACTATGAAAATTGTCTCAAGTATTAATTCATGCATGTTAGCGATATCAGTAGTATGCTTTCCTCCGATTGTTCAAGATGTATAATTAAGTATTTACAGTGAAGATTCGTGAATTCTACATGTAACTTTCTACTAATATTTACATCGTGATCGAAAAGATACCCTAAATGAAGTCAGTTCTTTTTCCGTAGACTTGTATATCTTGATTTAAATCTTGATTTAAACTTTTTGCACTGCAGTATTGATTGGCCTGTGCTGCAACTACGATTTAAATGAAGTACATTGATACTCTTGAACACAGAAATACTTTTGGTGAGGTGAAAAGTCCTTGGTATTCATGCAGTGAACGTGTCGATGGAATTTTTAAAAACTTATTGTATCCATTTCAGCACATGTAAAGCCTTATTGAACACAATAAAACTACTAAAAATCACAGGCTGTGTGTCATAGTGGCCGCTTTCTACATAAGTAGTTTGAAAGTAATGCCATAAACCACTTGAATATAAATTCAAAATGATATTACACAACTAGAGGTGTCATTATGGTTCGTAAACCTTTATTCATTAGTGCAAACCAATTCAGGTTATAGGAGCTAATTATATTGAACCATGATGCTGTATCGAATTAGACCTATACCTAGCAGCAATCATTAATGTTTTTAAGCTTTTATTAAGCTTCCAAATTTTATCTATGACGTTCAATTAACAGATCAGACCATCAACTTTAACACATTCAACCGCCTACTATAGGGCTAAGACTTTAGAATGTTTTTTCACATTCATCAAGGCAAATATAGGTACATCTACTCGTACATTTTGCTGTTCCATCATAGAATACAAAATTTTAAACTTTATCATACATACATACATACATTCATTCATTTGAAGTCAACGATATTCTTTTGGGAAAGGACATTATACTACAAGTAAATGTCCTTGGTTTGGGTAAATGAAGGACGGTACCAGCCTTTTTTTTTCTGCGGAAATCCCCGGAGAAGAAAGCCGCAATAGCAACTGGCTGGAAATTCAAATGTAACGTTAATCTTCAAATAGAAGATGCCTGTGAAGTCAGACGAATGAACTTTACATTTAACAGAAAACATCTAACGAAAGGACACTCGGCTTTATACTTGCAGTCTCTTTTCTCCTACAAAAAGTGCATGTTAAGAGTTAAGCTCAGTATTTTAATGCCGTTGACTGACTTAAAAGTAAGCAGCATTTCATGTATGGGGTTCAATAAACACGGCAGACAATCAACTTACACAAGCTCATTGAAGACGGCTGCAAGAGCAACAACTTTGAAAATAGCAACTGGTTGAAAATTCAAATGTAACACTAATCTTCAAATAGATGATGCTTGTGAAGCAAGGCGACTGAAATTTACATTTAACAGAAAATGTGAAGAAAGTGTAAAGAAAGGACAATAGGCTTCATACTTTATACATCTCTTTTCTCTTCAAAAAAGTGTATGTTAAGAGTGAAGCTCGGTATTAAGTCAACAGCATTTCATGTATGAGGTTCAATAAACACAGCAGACAATCAGCTGTTACCCAAACTCATTGAAGAAGGCTACAAGAGCAACAAGGAAAATCGTAGATTTCAAACCTCCGGGTTTTTTTTGTATTCTATTGGTTTAGGTTATTTGTTTGTGTGTAGTATGAAAGTTATGTGCGTAATATGTTTGTATGTGTTTGATGGCTACTGACGGTTGGTTCGGTATGGACTGTTGATTAACGTGTCTGACAGCCTGCACCGTCACCCGCGCCATTACCCCCGCCGTCATTGCTGCGCCGTCACCCAAATTTTTTATCGGAACCAGACACCCCTCTGTTTGACCCCTTTTAAATGCTAAGACCCAAAACTGCAACCTCCCCATTCCTTAACAACATGGTAGATTCCATTTTCAGCATGGCGGGGGTGTCCGGAGCACTTAAAACATTTTATTTCGACGCCCATAAACACATATGCAATTAAACAAAAACGTTCTACATCATCTGCAGCCCAATAGCAATACGTATACCGAACAACAGACCAATCCGTCCAGCCGATCGCGAGAAACAGCTGCTGACAGAAATGTTTCGAACCATAGTAAAACCTCCTCGCGGAAGGATATCTCCTTCCCCGGAGGTAACAACTTGGAAATCCAATATAAATGTAATCTTCAAACAGATGCGTGGGAGGCCAGAAGACTGAAACATATACAAGGCTAAAGTTTATTCTTGCAAGTTGTTTTCTTACTAACAAAGGTGTGTGTTCAGACTCAAGCTCAGCATAAAGTCAGTCAACAGCCTTTGATCGTCGTGGTTCAATAAAGAGAACAGACAATCAACTTCAACCAATGGCTTACAATACGTATAAAACTTAATCTTTTAAAAGGGCTTACCAGTGAGAGCACAAAAAGGTACAAAACGCATTCAATAAACTCTGTCATGTCGAAAAAACGGCAGACAATCAACTGCCCACACAACCAATAGGATACAAGCAGAGAGAAGACTTAAATGTGTTTTTTACAAACCGTACTTGTCTAGCTACCGAGATCTGCACAGAACAACTGCTGCCCTCACGACTTTCTGGCAATAAGAGAAATTCTGTCTCGCTTGATAGGAAAATCTGGATAAGGTTCAGAGGTAAGCCGTGCTTATCAACCATCAGCGTCAAAAACTATCGGAGTTATGAAGGATATTGTACAACTTTCATATTTTTCATTGGAACTGCAAGGATGGAAACATATTTTGTACTGATGACTCATCTTTGAGACTCGTCATTGTGTGTTTTGAAGAATTTATATTATGTTATTTTGAAGAATTTATGTTATGCTGGTGACTCATCTTTGAGACTCATCTTTGAGACTCATCATTGTGTGTTTTGAAGAATTTATGTTATACGGCCTTTAGAATGCAGCTTACCTCTGTTGTGCCTCAGACTCACTAACCACGGAGCTACTTGACATAATGATTTTTGACTTGTAACGTTGTATACTAGTAGTTGGAACGAGAACCTGCTGTGAAAACAAATTGAAATTAGCCACCGTGTATAACTCACATTTTAATATTTCATGTATGTGTTGCATGAATTTGTCCTAAAATACGCTCGGTCCGTTGTTTTCGACAAAAAGCTTAATTACCTGATTTTAATTGTCCTTTAACGTAACTTAAACCTGGATTTTGTTTTATATTCTGGAAAAATCTTGGAATCGAACTTTCTGTCTGGAAGTTTTAGTTTCTAATTCAGACTATCTGTACGGGCAGTATATGGGTAATTATGTGGTAAATTATCCATTCCTCAAACTCACGTAATTAAGAATTGCAGCCACATTCCAAACATCCTTATAACACAGTTGTTGCCTTCAATGACTGTTTTTGTGAATATTTTTGCTAGCATTAGATACACCATCTTACGCCGCACGGATAGGGTGAGGTCACGGCCAGTATCGTCGTTACATATTATTACGTTCCCGAAAAGATGTCAGCATAGATGTAAAAGCCAGAAAACGGTTTATCATAATTCTGTAACAGTTGTGTTTTTTTTCTAACGCAAGGATTAATAGGAACCCCTGTACCTGTATTGCTGGTAAAGCCGCCTGTCGACGTATTGCATACTAGTATACACCAGGTTTATGCACATGGTTTTGTACATCATGCACAGTCTGCATTTTTCTTCTTCTTCAAATAACATTCACTTTAGGTTTTTCTTTCATTTCCCCTAGGTATCACCACTTTTGCAGTTATTTTTACAGAACCTGGCAGCTTGCTTCTGTACCCTTTCTAGTTATATTTGTTTTTAATCAAGGACATTACACAGACTGTGTAATGTCAATGCTTTAATTGCATATGGACCCCATATTGTAATATTGCCAGGGCACATATGGGATAATCTTCATTATATGAATGAATGAATGAATGAATGAATGAATGAATGAATTTTAATTCACGTGCCTTGCGACTTTTGTCGCCAAGTCCATGTGGGCTTATAAGACACCAAAACATAAACATGAACATAAACATAGGTACAGAAATCATAGAAACATAAAGCCAAGTCCGATTCAAAAGGTCAGACTGGAAACATCAAATGAAATTAAAGAACTTAATACAAAGTTGAACATAACATAATCGGTACATATGAGTCAAAAGTGCACAAAGTCAACCCATTTTATTTCTCTCTCAATCTTTTACCTGTGCAGAGAGTCACAACAGCATGGATAAAAACCGAACAGGTGTGCTGATACTCCTCCTGATCCTCCTGAAGGTGCTTGGACCAACCGAGGCGTCCTGTAGCTGCAAAGATCAGACGTACTGCAACTGCCAGCTACAGGGTGGGAACCAACGCTTGACCATGAACGTACTAACTTATAACATTCATACGGGGTTAGGGAGTTTGAAATGCTTATCTCTATATTCCAGTGGCATCACTGATATTCAGGCAGGAATGTTTAGTTCAATGTGGCAACTAAATACATTGACGCTGACTCGCAACAAACTAACTTATCTCAGATCAGACATGTTTACGGGGTTAGGAAATTTGCAGTGGCTTTATCTGTACAATAATGATATTGAGGAAATTCAGGCTGGGACTTTCGATCCAACTACAAAACTATATGGACTACAGCTCTTCTATAATGCCATCAGTGACATTCAGCCCGGAACATTTAAAGCATTATCACAACTAACAATGTTGGTCCTACACAGTAACAAGCTAACAAGGCTCACATCTAACATGTTTACAGGGATGGGAAACTTAGTTGAGCTTCAACTACACAAAAATAACATCAATGAAATTCAGGCAGGAGTATTCACAGACCTCTCAAGTCTCTCTATTCTCACTTTGCAAAACAACAATATGAAAACGTTTTCCGTACATATGTATGACAGGCTGTTACCGCTGTTACCAGTCGGTCGTGTAAACATTGGTAACAACCCCTGGCAGTGTGACTGTAGGATGCTTCCCTCAGGAAACAAATGACTGGGGCTCGTTCATTTGAAGACCAGATCACTTGTTGCCAACCAGAAAAATTGAAAGGGCAAAAACTTAAAGATATCAATCCTGCAGATCTGATTTGTTACAGTAAGCCGAAAATCGTGAGGTTTGAGAGAAACAATGATAATAACACGTCAATTAAGAGTCTGGTCTGTGACGCTTCAGGTGTCCCCACCCCAAACATCACAGTCGTTCTCCCCTCTGGACTGAATGTAACTGTTGAGTCAGAGTGGGGCGAGACGGTGGTTGTCAACGACACCGTCACCATAAACATTACTGTAGATGCTGTCGGTATGTACTTTTGTATAGCAGCAAGTTCCCTTGGCTATACATTTGCCAAACTGTCTGTAGAATTCCCTCTGGACAAGCCTACTACTTTTACACCAGACCCTGCACTAGCAACTTCACCACTCCTTACTGTCAACCGAACCTCAGGCAAACCAGAAATCAGTAGTGACGAGGGGTCTGGTCCTAGTTCCCCAATTCTTGTTGGGTCTGTTAGCTCTGGAGTGGTTGGTGCTTTCCTCGTTGGTACCTTGCTTCTTCTCGTGACTTGGCACAAAAGTAGGATAAAGAATCCGCCAGACCCCAGCACTGTTTCAAACAACACATCCAGCTCTGGACAGTCACACTTTGCTTTGTCTGTTGATGCTCTTAGGGACTTGGTCAGAAACCGAATGTATAACTCAGTCTCGGGGACTGCGGTCTCACAGAATACGTATGAAGATGTGGATAATTTGTCCCCATCAGGCCCTACAGACCCAGAATCTAATAGCTGTACAACACTTAAGAACACAGCAACCGCTAACCATAATCAGACAACATTAGGCGAGTCTCAGGTTATCACTACATCTTTGATAAACCCACAGTATGACACAGGGACAGTCGTTTCACAGAATACGTATGAAGATGTGGATAATTTATCATCAGCAGGTCCTACAGATGCAAACTCTAATGGCTGCGCAGCACCAAACAACACTGTAACAGATATGCAATATCAGACAGGATTGGATGAGACAGTCGTTTCACAGAATACATATGAAAATGTGGATAATTTGTCACCAACAGACCCCAACGACCCAAACTGTAATGGCTGCACAACAACAACAACAACAACAACAACAAGCAACACTCGTGAGGCTCAGGCTGAAGCCTTGACATATGCACGTGATAACCCTAAAACAGCTGTCTTACACCGCACATATCAAGATGTCAATATGACACTAGGTCACGCAGTCCCTAACCCAAATATTTACACAAACAACACAGCTATTGTGACGGATAGTCAGGTTTATACAGCAGTGCACGTGGGCGAGTCTCAGCTTGTCACTAAATCCTCGATAAACCCTCAGTATGACACAAGGGCAGCCGCCCCATAGAATACATATGAAAATGTGGATAATTTGTCCCCAGCAGGTCCTACAGACTTAAAATCTAACGGCTTCACAACACCAAACGACACTGTAACAGATCAGATGTGGAATATCAGACAGCATTGGGTGAGGCTCAGGCTGAAGCCTTCATATATCCACATTATAGCTCCGAAACAGCTGCCTTACAGCACACATAGTGGGGTCTTGTTGCGCAGCGGTAGCGTGTTCGACCTTGAACCGAGAGGTTCCGGGTTCGATTCCTAGCCATGTCACCGATCTTGTACCCTTGGGAAAGGCACTTTACACAACTCCACTCAGGTGAAAATGAGTACCTAGCTTCGGCTAGGGACGTCCCTCGGATAGGACGTTAAATGGAGGTCCCGTGTTTGGTTTGGGAAGGGCCACACCTCACGCACGTTAAAGGACCCACCACACCTTTCGAAAAAGAGTAGGAGCATGCCCCAGTGTGCGATGGTCCAAATACTTATCTGATTATTTACTACGGACTCCGAAAATAGTAGTGTAAAATTAAAACTAATGGAGATCCCAAACAAACATACAAACAAACAAACAAAACAAAACATATGAAGATGCCAATATGACACCAAGAAACCCTGCAGTCCGAGAAGTTTATTGGGCCTGAGTGATATATTCAATATAACATTTAAAAAGGTATATTATTCGTATAATCTACATAATTCCGGTGTGATGATTACGATCTATTTGTTCTTTTGCCTTGCAAAAAAAACTTCCCAGTCCTGTACTATTCTGGGTTACAGGAAACGTAGGACACTGCATACAAGAAAGTCTCGTACTAGAGTATTTTCGAATCAGAAAGGCTTATCGGTGTTGATACATTAGAGTGCTGTCAAGTTTTTTGGTCCATTGCTGTTCACATGGACATGCTTTTATTTCAATGGTGGACAAAGGATATAGACAAATTAACCTTGTATATATTGTTGGCATGCAGCACACTCTAATATACCGAGTACTTACTTTAGCAACAGATGATAAGTTACAGTATTTGATTCGTTATGCTATTTACCCATGATATTATGTTAAAAGGTTCTACACGAGAACGGAATTTAACATTGAGGAATTGTAGACTTAAGAATTCAACTTTCATAAATACGCATGTACATTATACATACACTGAGGGTGAATTTTGAACAAATGGCAACTCGAAGTTACCATTTTGACATACCATGCTTACCAAAAATAAGGTGTTGTAAACTGTATTTAAATTCGAAATTTTAACAAACAACTGGTAAAAAACAACTAATGTCGGTGCGAAAGAAAAGGGAAAAAGCTATCTGTATGCAATATGGAATGTTGACACGCAGCGCAATTTCTAACAGTTATACAGAATGGTCTAATGGTTATACGGTATTATCTTGAGGTTTAACATTTTGTACTGTAGTACTGATTAACCTGGTACTGCAACTACAAATTGAACGCAGTACATTAAAGATTTTTGAGTTTCCTTTATATTAAGACATAGAAATACGTTTGGTGAGGTGAAAAAGCCTTGGTATTCATGAAGTTGACAGTGAACCTGGCCTTGGAAATTCTAATCAGGTTGAATTTATTTCAGCACATTTGTAATGCTTTATTGAACACAATAAAACTAATAAAAATCACAGGCTGTGTGACGTAGTGGCCACCTTCTACATAATTAGTTTGAAAGTAATGCCATAAACCACTTGAATATAAATTCAAAATGATATTGCACAACTAGAGGTGTCATTATGGTTCGTAAACCTTTATTCATTAGTGCAAACCAATTCAGGTTATGGGAGCTAATTATGCACCATGATGCTGTATTATACCTAGCAGAAATCATTATTGTTTTTAAGCATTTACTAATCTTCCAAATTTGTGTTATTTCGGATACAACCACACACATTTTATCTAGGACGTTCAATTAACAGATCAGACCATCAACTTCAACACATTCAACGGCCTACGATAGGGATAAGACTTCAGAATGTTTTTTCACATGCAAGGCAAATATAGGTACATCTACGCATACATTTTGCTGTTCCATCATAGAATACAAAATTTTTAATTTTATTGTACATTCATTCATTCATTTGAAGTCAGCGATATTCGTTTGGGAAAGGACATTATACTACAAGTAAATGTCCTTGGTTTGGGTAAATGAAGGACGGTACCAGCCTTTTTTTCTGCGGAAATCCCCGGAGAAGAAAGCCTCAATAGCAACTGGTTGGAAATTCAAATGTAACACTAATCTTCAAATAGAAGATGCCTGTGAAGTCAGAATGAACTTTACATTTAACAGAAAACATCTAAAGAAAGGACACTAGGCTTTATACTTGCAGTCTCTTTTCTCCTACAAAAAGTGCATGTTAAGAGTTAAGCTCAGTATCTTAATGCTGTTGACTGACTTAAAAGTAAGTCAACAGCATTTCATGTATGGGGTTCAATAAACACAGCAGACAATCAACTTACACAAGCTCATGGAAGAAGGCTGTAAGAGCAACAACTTTGAAAATAGCAACTGGTTGGAAATTCAAAAGTAAAACTAATCTTCAAATAGATGATGCTTGTGAAGCAAGACGACTGAAATTTACATTTAACAGAAAATGTGAAGAAAGTGTAAAGAAAGGACAGTAGGCTTTATACTTTTACTCTTTTATCTCTTTTCTCTTCAAAAAAAGTGTGTATTAAGATTTAAGCTCAGTATTAAGCAGTCAACAGCATTTCATGTATGAGGTTCAATAAACACAGTAGACAATAAACTGTTACACAAGATCATTGAAGAAGGCTGTAATAAAAAAGCAACAACTTTGAAATTCAATGTAAATGTAATCTTCAAACAGATGGTGCGTGGAAGGCCAGAAGACGTAAAATGTACTTTTAACAGAAAAACTTGTTAAGAAAAGGAATTTAATTTCGCAAGATGTTCAAGAAACACAGCAGACAATATACTGTTACAAAACCAATGGCATACTATAGGGATAAAACCTGTTTTTCTGTAAGTTTGTTTAATACTGCGATAAATGGCTTACCAGTAAGAGTACAAAAAGGTACAAAACCAATACAAAACTATTTGATGTCGGAAAGCACAGCAGACAATCAACTGCCCACACAACCAATAGGATACAAGTAGGGAGAAGACTTAAATGTGATTTTTTTTACAAACCGTACTTATCTAGCTACCGAGAGCTGCACAGATCAACTGCTGACTTTCTGGCAATACAAGAAATTCTGTTTCGCTTGACAGCAAAATCTGGATAAAATTCAGAGGTAAGCCGTGCTTATCAATTTTAATTTTACGGATTTTAATTTGCTCTTAACGTAACTTAAACCTGGATTTTGTTTTATATTCTGGAAGACTCTTGGAATCGAACTTTCTGTCTGGAAGTTTTAGTTTCTAATTCAGACTATCTGTACGGGCAGTATATGGGTGATTATGTGGTAAATTATCCATTCTTCAAACTCACGTAATTAAGAATTGCAGCCAAATTCCAAACATCCTTATAACACAGTTGTTGCCTTCAATGACTGTTTTTGTGAATATTTTTGCTAGCATTAGATACACCATCTTACGCCGCACGGATAGGGTGAGGTCACGGCCAGTATCGTCGTTACATATTTTTACGTTCCCGAAAAGATGTCAGCATAGATGTAAAAGCCAGAAAACGGTTTATCATAATTCTGTAACAGTTGTGTTTTTTTTCTAACGCAAGGATTCACAGGAACCCCTGTACCTGTATAGCTGGTATAACCGCCTGTCGACGTATTGCATGCTAGTATATACCAGGTTTATGCACATGGTTTTGTACATCATGCAGAGTCTTCATTTTTCTTCTTCTTCAAATAACATCCACTTTAGGTTTTTCTTTCATTTCCTCTAGATATCACCACTTTTGCAGTTGTTTTTACAGAACCTGGCAGCTTGCTTCTGTACCCTTTCTAGTTATATTTGTCTTTAATCAGGGACATTACACAGACTGTGTAATGTCAATGCTTTAATTGCATATGGACCCCATACTATAATATTTCCAGGGCACATATGAGATTATCTTCATCATATTTCTCTCTCAATCTTGTACCATTGCAGAGAGTCACAACAGCACAACAGCATGGATAAAAATCGAATAGGTATGCTGATACTCCTCCTGGTCCTCCTGAAGGTGCTTGGGCCAACCGAAGCTTCCTGTACCTGCAAAGATCAGACTAGCTGCAACTGCCAGCTGCAGGGTGGGAACCAACGCTTGACCATGAACGTACTAACTTATAACATTCATAGGGGGCAAGGGAGTTTGAAATCCTTATGTCTATCTGCCAGTGGCATCACTGATATTCAGGCAGGAACGTTTAGTTCAATGTGGCAACTAAGTTTATTGTATCTGAATTTCAACAAACTAACAAATCTCAGATCAGGCATGTTTACGGGGCTGGGAAATTTGAAAATTCTCCAACTGGCCGAGAATGACATTAGTGAGATTCAAGCTGGGACTTTCAACCCAACTACAAAACTGGAAGAACTAAATCTAGTAATGAATGCCATCAGAGACATTCAATCTGGAACATTTAAAGCATTATCACAACTACAAATGTTGGTCCTACACAGTAACAAGCTAACAAGGCTCACATCTAACATGTTTACAGGGATGGGAAACTTAGTTGAGCTTCAACTACACAAAAATAACATCAATGAAATTCAGGCAGGAGTATTCACAGACCTCTCAAGTCTCTCTATTCTCACTTTGCAAAACAACAATATGAAAACGTTTTCCGTACATATGTATGACAGGCTGTTACCGCTGTTACCAGTCGGTCGTGTAAACATTGGTAACAACCCCTGGCAGTGTGACTGTAGGATGCTTCCCCTCAGGAAACAAATGACAGGCGCTCGTTCATTTGAAGAACAGATCACTTGTTGCCAACCAGAAAAATTGAAAGGGCAAAAACTTAAAGATATCAATCCTGCAGATCTGATTTGTTACAGTAAGCCGAAAATTGTCAGGTTTGAGAGAAACAATGATAATAACACGTCAATTAAGAGTCTGGTCTGTGAAGCTTCAGGTGTCCCCACCCCAAACATCACAGTCGTTCTCCCCTCTGGACTGAATGTAACTGTTGAGTCAGAGTGGGGCGAGACGGTGGTTGTCAACGACACCGTCACCATAAACATTACTGTAGATGCTGCCGGTATGTACTTTTGTATAGCAGCAAGTTCCCTTGGCTATACATTTGCTAAACTGTCTGTAGAATTCCCTCTGGACAAGCCTACTACTTTTACACCAGACCCTGCACTAGCAACTTCACCACTCCTTACTGTCAACCGAACCTCAGGCAAACCAGAAATCAGTAGTGACGAGGGGTCTGGTCCTAGTTCCCCAATTCTTGTTGGGTCTGTTAGCTCTGGAGTGGTTGGTGCTGTCCTCGTTGGTATCTTGCTTCTTCTCGTGACTTGGCACAAAAGGAGAATAAAGAATCCGCCAGACCCCAGCACTGTTTCAAACAACACATCCAGCTCTGGACAGTCACACTTTGCTTTGTCTGTTGATGCTCTTAGGGACTTGGTCAGAAACCGAATGTATAACTCAGTCTCGGGGACTGCGGTCTCACAGAATACGTATGAGAATGTGGATAATTTGTCCCCATCAGGCCCTACAGACCCAGAATCTAATAGCTGTACAACACTTAAGAACACAGCAACCGCTAACCATAATCAGACAACATTAGGTGAGTCTCAGGTTATCACTACATCTTTGATAAACCCACAGTATGACACAGGGACTGTCGTTTCACAGAATACGTATGAAAATGTGGATAATTTATCATCAGCAGGTCCTACAGATGCAAACTCTAATGGCTGCGCAGCACCAAACAACACTGTAACAGATATGCAATATCAGACAGGATTGGATGAGACAGTCGTTTCACAGAATACATATGAAAATGTGGATAATTTATCATCAGCAGACCCCAACGACCCAAACTGTGAAGGCTGCACAACAACAAGCAACACTCGTGAGGCTCAGGCTGAAGCCTTGACATATGCACGTGATAACCCTAAAACAGCTGTCTTACACCGCACATATCAAGATGTCAATATGACACTAGGTCACGCAGTCCCTAACCCAAATATTTACACAAACAACACAGCTATTGTGACGGATAGTCAAGTTTATACTGCAGTGGGCGAGTCTCAGCTTGTCACTAAATCCTCGATAAACCCTCAGTATGACACAAGGGCAGCTGCCCCATAGAATACATGTGAAAATGTGGATAATCTGTCCCCAGCAGGTCCTACAGACTTAAAATCTAACGGCTTCACAACACCAAACGACACTGTAACAGATCAGATGTGGAATATCAGACAGCACTGGGTGAGGCTCAGGCTGAAGCCTTCATACATATCCACAGTATAGCTCCGCAACACTTACAGCACACATGGTGGGGTCTTGTTGCGTAACGGTAGCGTGTTCGGCCTTGAACCGAGAGGTTCCGGGTTCGAATCCTACCCATGTCACCGATCTTGTGCCCTTGGGAAAGGCACTTTACACAACCTTCCTCACTCCACTCAGGTGAAAATGAGTACCTAGCTTCGGCTAGGGACGGCCCTCGGATAGGACGTTAAATGGAGGTCCCGTGTTTGGGGAGGGCCACACCCTACGCACGTTAAAGAACCCACCACACCTTTCGAAAAAGAGTAGGAGCATGCCCCGGTGTGCGATGGTCCAAATACTTATCTGATTATTTACTACGGACTCCAAAAATAGTAGTGTAAAATTAAAACTAATGGAGATCCCAAACAAACATACAAACAAACAAACAAACAAACAAACAAAACAACACATATGAAGATGTCAATATGACACCTGCAGACCCTGCAATCCCAGAAGTTTATTGGGCCTGAGTGATATATTCAATATAACATATAAAAATGCATATAATTCGTACAATCTACATAATTCCGGTGTGATGATCACGATCTATTTGTTCTTTTGCCTTGCAAAAAAACTTCCCAGTCCTGTACTATTCTGGGTTACAGGAAACGTAGGACACTGCATACAAGAAGTACTAGAGTATTTTCGATCAGAAAGGCTTATCGGTGTTGATACATTAGAGTGCTGTCAAGTTTTTGGTCAATTGCTGTTCACATGGACATGCTTTTATTTCAATGGTGGACAAAGGATATAGACAAATTAACCTTGTATATTTTGTTGGCATGCAGCACACTCTAATATACCGAGTACTTACTTTAGCAACAGATGATAAGTTACAGTATTTGATTCGTTATGTTATTTGCCCATGATATTATGTTAAAAGGTTCTACACGAGAACAGAATTTAACTTTGAGGAATTGTAGACTTAAGAATTCAACTTTCATAAATACGCATGTACATTATACATACACTGAGCGTGGATTTTGTACAAATGACAAATCGAAGTTACCATTTTGACATATCATGCTTACCAAATTTATAGGTGTTGTAAGTAAACAGTATCTGAATTCGAAACTGGTGAAAAATGCCGGAGCGAAAAGGGAAAAGCTATCTTTATGCAATATGGAATGTTGACATGCAGCGCAATTCTAACAGTTATACAGAATGGTCATTGACAATTTTGGTGATACAATTCAGGACTGACGTGATGTGCATACAAAAAGGCACTTTAGTCATGGGAAAAGAAATTCAAAGTACAGCATTTTCTATTGTACAGATTGTTGATAACCGTACAGAAGACTGAGCATGATAAAAAGCACGAAAGAATGGCTTATTTTCACCTTTTGGTTAATGTTTTGTTACTTAGGAAGATAATGTTACACACTAGTGGAAAATATTCTGATTAATTTCTCTATGTTATCATTGCTTTGACACCATAAAATCCTTAGTAACAAACCATGTAATGTTGCTTATCTTAAGCAACAGATGGCATGTTATAGCCTTTGACATGTAATGTTGATTATCCAGGATGTTATGTTCATATCGACCTAGGAGACAAAAGAATTTGTTTTGAATGAATTGAAATGTGCATTGACATTATCATGTAGCTTTAAAAGGCGGGAGATGCATTTCCTTACTTTGCACAATTGTAAATCAAGCTCACCATCATTTCGACTTATTGATATTTTCTGAAAACATAACCTTGTTGTAAATACACTGTACTTAGTGTTTTAACAAAAGAGCACAAGGAACTCTGACTTTGGGCTATCAAGCTTTTGTACGGATAATTGATTTTTGCTCTAGCATGCTGGCCTTATTAGGGTTTTGTATTGTTCTTTACGTTGAATAGTGTACACACATCTGTTGTTTTCACCTTTTGGTTAAGGTATTGTTACTTATGAAGATATTGTTACACGCTAGTGGAAAATATTCTGATTAAGTTCACTATATTGTCATTGCTTTGACAACATAAAAATCCTTAGTATCAAAGCATGGTAGGCTGCTTATCTGAAGCAACAGATGGTAAGTTTTAAACTTTAAGTACGATTTGTGCTCTAGCATTCTGGCTTCATTAGGATTTTATCATTGAAAAGTGTACACATATCTGGTAACATATAGCTCAGATTTTCATGATCTCTAAACACTGGAATTTGCTACCATGGCTGCTGAACATACTATAAAAATTGTCTCAAGTATTAATTCATACATTTTAGCGACATCAGTAGTATGCTTTCCTCCGATTGTTCAAGATGTATAATTAAGTATTTACAGTGAAGATTCATGAATTCTACATGTAACTTTCTACTAATATTTGCATCGTGACCGAAAAGATACCCTAAATGAAGTCAGTTCTTTTTCTGTAGACTTGTATATCTTGATTCAAACTTTTTGTACTGCAGTACTGATTGGCCTGGCTCTGCAACTATAATTTGAATGCAGTACATTAATGCTTTTGAAGTTTACTTTATATTAAGATACAGAAATACTTTTGGCCATGTGAAAAGACCTTGGTATTCATGAAGTTGACAGTGAACCTGGCCTTGGAAATTCTAAACAGGTTGAATTTATTTCAGCACATTTGTAATTCTTTATTGAACACAATAAAACTACTAAAAATCACAGGCTGTGTGTCATAGTGGCCACCTTCTACATAATTAGTTTGAAAGTAATGATATAAACAACTTGAATATACATTCAAAATGATATTACACAACTAGAGGTGTCATTATGGTTCATAAACCTTTATTCATTAGTGCAAACCAATTCAGGTTATGGGAGCTAATTATATTGCGCCATGATGCTTTATTGAATTAGACCTATACCTAGCAGCAATCTTAATCATTAATGTTTTTAAGCTTTTACTAAGCTTCCAAATTTTATCTATGACGTTCAATTAACAGATCAGACCATCAACTTCAACACATTCAACGGCCTACGATAGGGATAAGACTTCAGAATGTTTTTTTTCACATGCAAGGCAAATATAGGTACATCTACTCGTACATTTTGCTGTTCCATCATAGAATACAAAATTTTTAATTTTATCGTACATTCATTCATTCATTTGAAGTCAGCGATATTCGTTTGGGAAAGGACATTATACTACAAGTAAATGTCCTTGGTTTGGGGAAATGAAGGACGGTACCAGCCTTTTTTTTCTGCGGAAATCCCCGGAGAAGAAAGCCTCAATAGCAACTGGTTGAAAATTCAAATGTTACGCTAATCTTCAAAGAGATGATGCCTGTGAAATCAGGCGACTGAAATTTACATTTAACAGAAAACATCTAAAGAAAGGACACTCGGCTTTATACTTGCAGTCTCTTTTCTCCAACAAAAAGTGCATGTTAAGAGTTAAGCTCAGTATTTTAATGCTGTTGACTGACTTGAAAGTAAGTCAACAGCATTTCATGTATGGGGTTCAATAAACTCGGCAGACAATCAACTTACACAAGCTCATTGAAGACGGCTGCAAGAGCAACAACTTTGAGAATAGCAACTGGTTGGAAATTCAAATGTAACACTAATCTTCAAATAGATGATGCTTGTGAAGCAAGGCGACTGAAATTTACATTTAACAGAAAATGTGAAGAAAGTGTAAAGAAAGGACAGTAGGCTTTATACTTTATACTTTTTTTATCTCTTTTCTCTTCAAAAAAAGTGCGTATTAAGATTTAAGCTCAGTATTAAGCAGTCAACAGCATTTCATGTATGAGGTTCAATAAACACAGCAGACAATCAACTGTTACACAAGCTCATTGAAGAAGGCTACAAGAGAAACAACCTTGAAATTCAATACAGATGTAATCTTCAAACAGATTATGCGTGGGAGGCCAGAAGCCTGAAACATGCATAACATTACCATTAAACAGAGAACATGTAAAGAAAGGTCACTAAGCTTTATACTTGCAGTCTCTTTTCTCTTCAACAACGGTATATGTTAAGAGTTAAGCTCAGTATTGAGTCAATCAACAGCATTTCATCTGTTGCACAAGCTTATTGAAGAAGGCTGCAAGAGGAACAACTTGGAAATTCAATCTAAATGTAAATAGATGCATGTGAGGCCAGAACACCCTACATAAATAGAATAATCTAATAGAAATAGAAAACATGTAAAGGAAAAGGCTCTATTCTTGCAAGTTGTTTTCTTACCAACAAAGGTGTGTGTTAAGACTCAAGCTCAGCATAAAGTCAGTCAACAGCCTTTGATCCTCGTGGTTCAATACAGAGAACAGACAATCAACTTCAACCAATGGCATACAATACGTATAAAACTTAACCTTTTAAAACTTTGTATATGCGATAAAGCTAAAGGGCTTACCAGTGAGAGCACAAAAAGGTACAAAACGAATTCAATAAACTCTGTCATGTCGAAAAACACAGCAGACAATCAACTGCCGACACAACCAATAGGATACAAGCAGGGAGAAGACTTAAATGTGTTTTTTACAAACCGTACTTGTCTAACTACCGAGATCTGCACAGAACAACTGCTGCCCTCACGACTTTCTGGCAATAAGAGAAATTCTGTCTCGCTTGACAGGAAAATCTGGATAAGGTTCAGAGGTAAGCCGTGCTTATTATCAGCGTCAAACACTATCGGAGTTATGAAGGATATTGTACAACTTTCATATTTTTAATTGGAACTGCAAGGATGGGAAACATATTTTGTAGTGATGACTCACCTTTGAGACAATTGTGTGTTGTAAAGAAGTTATGTTATACGGTCTTTAGACTTCTGTTTTGCCTCAGAGTCACTAACCACGGAGCTACTTGACATAATGAATTTTGACTTGTATATAGTGTAGTTGGAACGAGAACCTTCTGTCAAAACAAATTGGCCACCGTGTATTACTCACATCTTGATATTTCATATATGTGTTGCATGAATTTGTTTTGAAATACGTTTGGTCGGTTATTTTCGACAAAAAGCTTTTACTCGATTCTAATTTGCCATTAACATAACTTAAACCTGTATTTTGTTTTATATTTTAGAAAATTCTGGGAATATTCTGGCTTCTTGAACTTTCTGTCTGGAACTTTTAGTTTCTAACTCACACTATCTGTACGGGCAGTATATGGGTACATTACGTGATAAATTGTCCATTCTTCAAACTCACGTAATTAAAAATTGCAGCCAAATTCCAAACATCCTTATAACACAGTTGTTGCCTTCAATGACTGTTTTTGTAAATGTTTTTGCTAGCATTAGATACACATGGCTCACGCCGCACGGATAGAGTGAGGGGGTGATTAATTCAAGGTCACCAACAATGATGCCGTATCGTCGTTACATATTATTACGTTCCCGAAAAGATGTCAGCATAGATGTAAAAGCCAGAAAACGGTTATCATAATTCCGTTGTATTTTTTCTAACGCAAGGATTCACAGGAACCCCTGTACCTGTATAGCTGGTATAACCGCCTGTCGACGTATTGCATGCTAGTATACACCAGGTTTATGCACATGGTTTTGTACATCATGCACAGTCTGCATTTTCTTCTTCTTCAAATAACATCCACTTTAGGTTTTTCTTTCATTTCCTCTAGGTATCACCACTTTTGCAGTTGTTTTTACAGAACCTGGCAGCTTGCTTCTGTACCCTTTCTAGTTATATTTGTCTTTAATCAAGGACATTACACAGACTGTTCAATGTCAATGCTTTAATTGCATATGGACCCCATATTGTAATATTGCCAGGGCACATATGGGATAATCTTCATTATATGAATGAATGAATGAATGAATGAATGAATGAATGAATGAATGAATGAATGAATGAATGAATGAATGAATGAATGAATGAATGAATGAATGAATGAATTTGTATTTACGTGCCTTGCAACTTTTGTCGCCCAGCCCATATGGGCTTATAAGGCACCAAAACATAAACATGAACATAAACATAGGTACAGAAATCATATAAACATAAATCCAAGTCCGATTCAAAAGGTCAGACTGGAAACATCAAATGAAATTCAAGAACATTTAAGTTCTTTTAAGTTATTAAAATACAAAGTTGAACATAACATAATCGGTACATATGAGTCAAAAGTGCACAAAGTCAAACAATTATATTTCTCTCTCAATCTTGTACCTGTGCAGAGAGATACAACAGCATGGATAAAAACCGAACAGGTGTGCTGATACTCCTCCTGGTCCTCCTGAAGGTGCTTGGACCAACCGAGGGTTCCTGTAGCTGCAAAGATCAGACGTACTGCAACTGCAAGCTGCAGGGTGGGAACCAACGCTTGACCATGAACGTACTAACTTATAACATTTATACGGGGTTAGGGAGTTTGAAATCCTTATCTCTACCTGCCAGTGGCATCACTGATATTCAGGCAGGAACGTTTAGTTCAATGTGGCAACTAAGTTTATTGAATCTGAATTTCAACAAACTAACAAATCTCAGATCAGGCATGTTTACGGGGCTGGGAAATTTGAAAATTCTCCAACTGGCCGAGAATGACATTAGTGAGATTCAAGCTGGGACTTTCGATCCAACTACAAAACTGGAAGAACTAAATCTAGTAATGAATGCCATCATAGACATTCAATCTGGAACATTTAATCCATTATCACAACTAAAAACCTTGCTCCTACACAGTAACAAGCTAACAAGGCTCACATCTAATATATTTACAGGGTTGGGAAACTTATATGAGCTTCAACTAGACAACAATAACATCAATGAAATTCAGGCAGGAGCATTCACAGACCTCTCAAGTCTCTCTATTCTCACTCTGCAAAACAACGATATGAAAACGTTTTCCGTACATATGTATGACAAGCTGTTACCAGTCGGTCATGTAAACATTGCCAACAACCCCTGGCAGTGTGACTGTAGGATGCTTCCCTTCAGGAAACAAATGACAGGGGCTCGTTCATTTGAAGAACAGATCACTTGTTGCCAACCAGAGAAATTGAAAGGGCAAAAACTTAAAGATATCAATCCTGCAGATCTGATTTGTTACCGTAAGCCGAAAATTGTGAGGTTTGAGAGAAACAATGATAATAACACGTCAACGAAGAGTCTGGTCTGTGAAGCTTCAGGTGTCCCCACCCCAGACATCACAGTCGTTCTCCCCTCTGGACTGAATGTAACTGTTCAGCCAGAGGGTGGCGAGACTGTGGCTACCATCTCCATAAATGTTACTGGAGATGCTGCTGGTCTGTACATCTGTACCGCAGCAAGTCCTCTTGGCAATGTATTTGCCACGCTGTCTGTAGAATTCCCTCTGGACAAGCTTACTAGTTTTACACCAGACCCTGCACTAGCAACTTCACCACTCCTTACTGTCAACCGAACCTCAGACAAACCAGAAAGCAGTAGTTCCCCAATTCTTGTTGGGTCCGTTAGCTCTGGAGTAGTTGGCGCTGTCCTCGTTGGTATCTTGCTTCTTCTCGTGACTTGGCACAAAAGGAGGATAAAGAATCCCCCAGACCCCAGCACTGTTTCAAACAACACATCTAGCTCTGGACAGCCACACTTTGCTTTATCTGTGGATGCTCTTAGAGACTTGGTCAGAAACCCAATGTATAACTCAGTCTCGGGGACTGCGGTCTCACAGAATACATATGAAGATGTGGATAATTCGTCCCCAGGGGTTGAATCTCAGGCTATCACTAATTCCTCTATAGCTGACCACCAGTATGACACAGCGAGAGATGTATCACAGAATACATACGAAAATATGGATAATTCGTCCCCAGGGGTTGAGTCTCAGGCTATAACTGATTCTTCTATAGACCGCCAGTATGACACAGCAACAGCTGTCTCAGAGAATACATACGAAAAAATGGATAATTTGCCCCCAGCAGGTTTGTCCCCGGCAGCTTTTACAGACGTAGACGCTAAATGCTGCACAACAACACCAAATAACACTGTAACAACAAGCCATTATCAGAAAGCATTTGGTAAGGCTCAGGCTGATGCCTTAACGTATGCACATTACAACTCTGAAACAGCTGTCTTACAGCACACATACGAAGATGTCAATATGACACCAACATACCATGTAGTCCCAGACTCAAACATTGGCACAAACAGCACAGCTACTGTAACAGCCAGCCAGGTTTATACAGCATTAGATGAGTCTCAGATTGTCACTAACTCCTTGATATACCCACGGCATGACACAGGGACAGTCGTTTCACAGAATACATATGAAGACGTGGATAATTTGTCACCAACAGGCCCTACAGACCCAAATTCTAATGGCTAAACAACGGTAAACAGGACAGATACTGTAGCAGCTATAAATGGCCAGACAGCATTGAGTAAGGTTCAGGCAGAAGCCTTGATATATCCGCATCATACTAGAACGAGCCACGAGCCATCAGTTCGGTATGAATTTTTAACTGCAACCAAATCACTGTTACTCTGTACTAAGTAGCGTTTTGTTAAAAGATTCCATAGCCGGCGATTTTGTGTGACAAAAGAAAAATATTGGGACTTTATTATTATCAAATATGGGGGATTTCCGGGGCCGGGTAAACCCATGAAAGGGGGGGGGGCGGAAGTCGGCATTCCCTTTTGTATTTGGTTCTGCTGTATAGCGTATAGCGAACTAAAATCCCTGCGCGAAATTTAGTCCTTGCGAACATAAATGCATTTACAGTAGTTCAGAAACAGCTGTCTTACAACACACATACGAAGATGTCAATGTGGCACCAACATGCCCTGTAGTCCCAGACCCAGGTATTTGCAGAAACAACACAGCTACTGTGACAGTCAGTCAGAATCAGGCAGCATCAGGAATTTCAGACAATGAGTAAACCCCCCAACAGAAGCCCGTTCTTTGGTTAGTGCCATTATCAGTATAAAGATGTGGGTATTTCACCATGAAGACAACCTCTGTAGTGGTGCAGTTCAAAACAACCAGTGATAATATCAAAGCTCATTTCTGTTTGTGTCGCATAACTGGAAAACCTTTAAGCGTAACATACCAGATTTGTAAAGTCGGGAACAATCTGCCTAAGATCGGATTGTAAGATTTTTTTCTATAAGTTTGGTAGAATTTGTTTACGATCTCGAGGTCTGACTGTCCTAAAATATCGGACCTATGGCTTTACGTCGTTGACTGAAGCTAGGTGCTCATTTTTTCACCTGAGTCGAGTGAGGAAATATATTATGTAAAGGTTCTTTCCTAAAGGTCATATTAAAGTGCTTGTATGCGTTGCTAAAACTGGCCTTGAAGCGCCCAATAGAAACATGAAGCTCCTACTCCCTGTGAAGATGCCAAATGTAAGTACATGTACAGACTAGCAGGTTGCACATTACACAATAATCTTAACACTCACTCTTAAGGTTATCTTAGCACACTAAAGGAGTCGTTTTAGCAGTCAAAATAAAATCAAACAGGAAAACTTTGAAAGCATTATTGAGCAGCCATTCTCAGCAATGTTTTTCTCCAACTTCAAACCCTGTACAAACGGTCCGTTTGTTCACATATCTGAATATATGCCTTTATTTAAATGGTTGTCAAAGAAGAATATAGACAAATTTCCGTTGTATATATTGTTGATCATGCAGCACACTCTAATATCTATGCAGACTACTTACTTTTAGCAGAAGATGATAAGTTACAGTATTTGATTCGTTATGTTATTTACCCATGATATTACGTTAAAAGGTTCTACACGAGAACAGAATTTAACATTGAGGAATTGAAGACATGATACATGTACTTAGGGTGGATTTTCCACGAATGATAAAAACGATTGTTACATATTATTAGGCCGCACCGACTTACTTTTATGGATGACATCCGCGCGTGCATTGATTTTTTGCCTGTTCTCAAAAAACAAAAATAACGTCCTCCGAGGGTCTGACCACTGCCGACTCAAAAATTTCACAAATTCACAATAGCAGCTTGGTATTTCTGTGGTTAAGTAGCATTTTTTGGCATTTTTTTAATTATTTATTAGTTTGGGGGTCTTTAGAAGATGTCATCCATAAAAATTAAGATGGTGTGCCCCTAACTACTATCATGCTTACTAAACACAAACGTGTTGTAAATACATTTTATTAGATGCTTTAACAAACGATTTGTTTTTAGAGTACTGTTGTAAAGCTTGACTTGAACATAATTTCTGTACTGCAGTCTGATGCTGCATGTATGTGTACAATGATAATATGTATAATTAGAATGCAGTACCATTTTGTTTGAAGTGCTATATATATATAAATTATGGCACAGAAATACTTCTAATTTTCGCAAGATAATAAATGACCTTGATGTTCACGTAATTGCCAATTAGCGTGGCTTTGGTGTTTGGAGAAGGAATTATTCAATTTTATTTTTATTTCTTGACATTCGTAAAGCTTCATTCAACACAATAAAACTAATAAAAATCACGTGCTTTGTGTTATAGTTTTACTTGAGCTTGAAAGCAATTTCACGAAACATGTGAACAATGCAAAAGGATATTACACAATTAGATGTGCCATTATATTTTACTTTTAAGTTTTCATTCATTCATTGATATAGACAGCCTTAGCCTTTTCATACACTTCAATCAAACTTTTTTTCTCCCAAAGCCCCAATCGCAATTCACATCTCCGTATATATATATAAATATGTGTGTGTGTGTGCGTCCTTTGTTCGTTTGAGTACAAATTGAACAATTATTTATGTAATATCAAACCATGGAGTTAAAGATCTGATTTTCTACCTCCATGATCAAACCTACAACGTAAAGACGATAAAAAATACAGCCATAATAATAACACTGACGCACAAACATACGATAACGCAAACGTAGTTAAAAGATAACTTACGTCGATGAAGGTCAACATCTAAACACACCAGAAAACAGTTACTCAGGCAACTGGATAGATTGGATATATTTTATTACCTACAGATTCGGTTTTGTCACTGACAAAAAGTAGTGGATGCTACTTGAAAACATCTACCCAGATGTATATCCATTCATTTTAGATTAACCACCGAAAATGTTACAGTCTTGTTTGTTACCTCCATGAAAAATGGAGGTATTGTTTTTGGCGTGTCTGTCTGTATGTATGTATGTATGTATGTCTGTGTGTGTGTCTGTGTGTGTTTCCGCAACTTTGTAGTCAGCATAACTTCAGAACGCCTTTATGGATTGTGATGATATTTGGTATGATGGTAAGCCTTGGAAAGACAAAGATCAAGGTCAAGTATGGGCCTCCTGGTGGATGACCTTGGTACTGCAGCAGAACTTCCGGTTTTTGTATCTTTTGTCCTGAACAAGCTATGGTCTTGACTTTTTGGTGACAGATAGCTTATCCTGTCAGGAATAAGTGGCGTAAGTTTGGTCCACCTAGCAGCTTGTTCTGGAACTGCAGGTTAGTTTCTGGTAAAAACTTTCAAAACCAATAAGTCCAGATAGGAACAACATATTTTCATAATTTTTGGTGTGTAGGTAGCTGAGAGAGAGATGTACATAATTAAATGCAAACTATGCAAATGAGGACTTTATTTGCATAATTAATGAGGGAATTCTATAATTACAGTGTTTTACATTATACTACTTTCATACATGTAATGTATGTAACCTATGGCAGGCGGAACATCAACAGATACTAATTATGCAAATGATGACCTAATTTGCATAATTAATGTGAAAATTCTATGATTTCTTAATGGTGAATGATGGGAATGTCATACTTGGGACATCTGTAAGTTAATCAAACGTTAACATACATCACGATGCATATATCATGTTAATGCAGAGGTCATTTGCATAATTAAAGAAGAAATTTACATTTACATATCAAGCCCATATTTCATGGAGGTATGAGATCTCGGAATTCTTGTTTATTGTTTGTTTTGCACCCACAAGATAAAATGGAATATCACAATTTAAGTTAAGTAGACGCATGGGAGGGCCAGAAACCTGGAGGCTTATATATTGCCCTTCCCAACACTATAAGATTAAAAGTTACAATTTATCTTACACTGACTAGACGGCAACCTTTCAAAATATACAATATGATATCGTTTCCGCGAGCATCATTTCCGTCGTGCCGCTGTTGGGAGTACGAGGTTGACCACGGCGTTTGACCCGGCCTGCACCACGACGTTCCCGTGTCCATGTAGCCTGGTCTCACTCACAGTCGCTCGGCCAGCTAAGGCAAACAGAAAGGCGTAACGTCATCAAATGTCATAGCTTTACGTGCACCAGAAAAAGTGATGATTATGATATGCATTAATACATGCACAACGTTACAGTTCGGAATAACGCACTGCGTTCGTCTTTGCGAGTTTCGTCCATAGTTGCTGGCGCGTGCGTCATAAGGAGGAGGTCACTGCCTTCGTGCGTGAGAATAGAAAATTGCTAAAAAAACTTCAACGCAACAATGTTTGGAACAGTCCTACACAATCAAAACCACGATCATAACCGTGTTTTTCAGGTCTTCTCGTCACCAATGTCTAGTTGATCATGTCTCTAAAGGCAAACCGAACCGAACCGAACCTAAAGGCGAACCGCACTATTTAGTTACATCTGAACTATAAGCTATTAACGGTGCACACCTGAGTTCTTCCGCGACCAGAAGAATTTTGGATCAATTTTGGAGTAACATTAAAGAGGTGGACGAAAGCAAAATCGGTAAGCCTTGTGGCTGAAGAGATATCCTTCTATCCCATATACAGTTATTACCTTCAGAATTATTCCCCGGAAAAGACGGTTACTAGACTTGAGGACGTGCAGCTCGAATAGAAACGCGAAATAATCTGGTATATGTCCCCTTGTGGAAGTAAAACGTGCATAGTGCTGGTGGGGGCCGGTTGTGTGTGATAAGTCTGTGAAGAAATGCGAATGGCAACATATTATCTCCTACAAGTTGGCCAACAAGTTTTTGCCGTACTGTTTGATACGTAAGGAATGAGGTCAAATGATACAAATTTATCACAGGCTACTAATTTTACACCTACAATAGGACTTTGCACTACTAGTATATAGTAAAAAATCTAATTCTAGCCATGCGCTGCATCATATTCACATCGAACGGAAATCCCTTAGGATTTAGGGACAGTTTACAATGATACAATGATAGCTGTGAATACTGTATAGATGTACCTGCTGCAACAATCCTAACATGCATCAGTGAAATTATCTTAAGTTCAGCAAAACACTTCAGACTATCCAATAGCGTTACGCCTGGCCATGGCAGGGATTCCCCCTGACGTCATGGTGCTATTTTCAGTACCTGGCCACGACAAGCACTCAGCAAGATGGCGTCTGAACTAAAACTGCTAAAGTCTAACAGGGAGGAGCTTGTGGGAAAGATTCGGTTAGTCACACATTTCCTAGACAGGCTGCTTCAGCACGATGAGATAGTTCAGGAGGAGTACGACAATGTTGTGGCGGAGAAGACTCCACAGGACAAGGCCAGGGCTCTCCTGGATGTAGTGGCGGCAAAGGGCCGGGGGGCTTTCTGCCATTTTCGAGAGCACTTGAAGAAGGTCAACCCAGAACTGGAGGAGGTGTTAAATAGGTATGTGTTTTTTTATCTGTCCACAGACTGTGAACTTAACCTCTGACAAAAGACAAACACCCTACAAACTGACGAAGTAATTAGATACCTTTTAATATAAAGTAAAAATGCCTTATTCGATGTTGCCATGCATATTTTGCGTACTACAAACAAAAGCAGCAGTTTGAAAAGCATGGTAACTCAGTGAGGATAGGGTTACATTGTACCTTGTTGACGATCACAACACACAAGTAACACCTGAAACCGTACTCTGAGAGGTCACGGTGTGAGTCATTGCTTTGTCGCTAATCATATACTAGTATTACGTAGGCATTGTACATACTATTAGGCAATAACAGAACTATTGGCTTATAACGTCGTGCCAGGTGTAGAATACCCTACGATATAAATGATATAATAACAAAATATGTCCAGTCTTCATGTAACATAATAGGATGAAACAGTCCTGAAAAAAAGGCGGTAAGGAAAGAAGCACACGTATTTGTGCAAGCATAACGTCAATGTCGACATGTTCCGTTTCCAGGTGTGCAAAACACAACCTGCCATTCAAGCTGTACTGTGAGGACTGTGGGACGTTGTTGTGCCGTGCTTGTCGCTCAAAAGAACACAAAGACCACAGGTAAAGTGACGATTGTAGACGTTGCCTCGTTGAATAGTATTGCTCTACGGTCAATACATCAAATACCGCCCTGTTCCATATTTTCTGGTTTAGGTTTTCTACGTAGGTAAATGTCATTGCCCTAACGCAATAAGTTGTTATAGCTTAATAAGTGGACTCCAATTGTCAGGAGTTTATTGAGGTGATGGATTTTGCGTATTAGGATTTTGCAAAAGCATACCATAGTTATTTCACCTATTTATTTTTATTTTCCTGGTCATGTTTAGCCAGGGTGGCCCAGCTCAGAATATATTTTGTGCCGTTATCTAGATGCACGTCTCTGGTGGCAGAAGGAGACGCCATCCGCCGCCAGTTCACGGCCTTCAAGAGAGAGAACCGGAAGATTCTCATTGAGCGCAACAAAATGTTGGATGGTTACGATGTCGAAATCATGCGAAGGGAGGCAGACGACAGAGCAGAGGTTCTCAAGGAGGGACTTTGTGCAAAGGTAGATGAAGAACGCCGCTGGTTTTTCAAGCAACTCGGTGACGGCCCACTAAGCCCTGCACGAAGCGCCTCGAGTATTGCCGACTCTGGAAGCGTGGCGGGATCAGAGGCGAATGACATCTCAGATGCTGGAGACCAAACAACCAAACCTCTCTCATTTTCCTCAACTCAAAACCAAGATGCAGAGTTGCATGGAGATGATGATGATAAGACGTGTGTAACTGAAGACCAGGCGACTCTGTGTGATGAATTGGAGACCGTTCATCTTGACGCAGATGACAGCTCGGACATGCTGGAAGACGTTTCCTTGCCATATGAGGGCAACACACGGAACGGAGCGACTGGCATACAAACCCCGAGACAGTCTCCAACAGTTGATTTCCTCCACTCATTCGGAGTGTCTGGACGCAAAGAAGGCCAATTCAGGTCCCCGGATGGTATGACGATCTGCCCCAAAGGAAGAATCATTGTAGCTGACAAATGGAATCATCGGGTTCAGCTGTTCGACATAAACGGAACATGGGAGAGTGAGATATCAACAAGAAAATGGGGTTCCGCCCGCCCAAGCTCTGTTGTGTTTTGCTCTTTGAGTCCGCCTGGAGACGTACTTGTCACGTGCACTGGTATAGGAAAAATGCTTCAGCTATCTTTAAGCTCAAAGGTTTTCTCAAAACTGTCTCTCGCGGGATGCAGGGGTGTAGCTGCTTTGGACGGAGGCCGCACATTGTTTATCTCTGAACAAGAGAATAACACAGTTCACATACTCACGAGAGCAAAGAATCCAGCAGATGAAAAAGTCGCGTACAATACGACCAACAAACTGAAAGGTCCTTTCTACAAGCCGCAGAACGTCAACACCGACGGCCTTTCCAATATCTATGTCTCTGACATTGGCGACCGCACAGTAAAAGTTCTGGACAAAGAAGGGTACATGAAAGGCACCATCGGTAAGGACATTCTCCGGTATCCTACAGGGGTATGTGTTGACAAAGAGGGCAATATCATCGTATCAGACATGGTGAAAAACACGTTGGAGATCTTTGCAAGTGACGGGCATCATTTGAACACCCTCATCCCCGAGCAAGGCGGTCTGAAGGCACCACAGGAGATTGCTCTCACACCAGACGGGACGAAGTTGGTCGTCGTGGACCGCGGAAACGATCGCGTTCGGGTCTACAGGTACAACCAAGGTGGAGAAGACCACGTTCTTACAAACAAGGACATACGGGACTGACAAACAGCACAGCAACACCCTGAATTCAGACACTACCAGCGCTCTAGATGGATACCATGTAGCAAATAGGACGGTAGAGTGCAGGGTATACAATCTTGAAGATCTATTCAACGTAGTAAATACAATCTCGACTATCAATGTAGTACTAGAATATAAAATAGGACTAGAGTGCTTAGTAAAACAAAAGGCATATAGGTAATACAAAATAATGTAACATAAATAGTGAAGCACGTAGGCAGGTAGGCATAGAGAAGCAGTTCCGAGTACACTCGTCGATTCTTACACGTTACACAGAGCAAGAGAGATTTTTTTAGTATACACTGCAAGTATACAGAGGGTACTAACAGGATTCTTCATAGTACGTATAATGTAGAATCTAGATTTATATTATAGCACATGTGTGCATATGTTCATTCAACGATAATGTAGGGATGTATATAACAGTAATACGATGTCTATCAACTGGTATGTAGTTGGTTTGTACAAGTTTTAAAATGTATTTATGATATACTAACTTTTGGTTTTACGTATGTAATGAAATAAGTAAAGAATGTACTTGTGAGTACTTAAATCTGTTCTTCTTGATAGCAGTCAGTGTATAGAAGAACAACAAATTTGTAAGTTTTAACTAAAATTAAAATTAAGAAAATTATTATGAAAATTTTAAAGTCAGTCAATACTGTACATATTGCTGCTTGTAGTCGAAACTTCGGCTTGCTTACTTTCAAATATCTTACTCAAATGTTTGTTATACAAAAATGGCAAGGTAGTTGTTGTAGAAGTAATGCTATTTCAATGTTTGTATATTTAGCTATTGTAACTCTGTGTAAGGTATAGTAAACTACTGTCAGGACAGGAGTAGTCTCATGCATGTCAATAGAAAATAGATGATATGTATACATGAGAGGTGAAGTGCATGTTTTGTTGTTGTTGTTTTTTTGCAAAGGTTTCAAGTAACTTGGCTACTCAACCGTAGTACTAGTAAGGGGATGCTTCTATCAACATAAGATTTTGTTACTTATGTTACGATGTCTTTATGTTATAGCATTTGATGTGCTCAATTTCCGGTGTGACATTATGCGGCGCCTTCCGCGTCCGCATTGAGCGGAAACATTTTGCCCTAGTGAAACTACCCCTTCCCCCCCCCTCCTGAAACAATTCTACTCAGTGCATGTATCGCTTTAACAAAGATAGAATAGGTTATAACCCTGTCCTTTGGCTAACTCCCGAAAACGGATGGTAGAACAGACGGCGAGGACTCTTCCGTTCTGATTTTGATAGGGGTGTTGGGTGGGAAATTGGTCATGTGCTTCCAACATCATCTTTTTTTATTACTTTGTGTTACATTTTTAGCATCACCAACTATGTATGTATGTTAGCATCACCAACTATGTATGTGTATTTTGCCATACGATGTATTCGCTACATCTGTTGCGCAATAAAGTTCTTCTTCTTCTGTATTTCCTTCGTATTGGATTCATGTTTGTTAACAGTTAATATCCTCTCATTATGTGTAACAGTTAAGTGGTAGCTTTAAAATAAGTCTTAGATACTTGAGTGCGCTACCACTTTGTGTTCATCATCTTCAGTACTGCTAAGCCTTCTAAAAAGACGATTACTAGCAGCTGCGCATTAGTACTGTGTGCAAAGTGCAAACAAAGGGTATGGTAGGGGTGGACGTGGACAAGTGCAAAGACAGGACAAGTGAGATCAGTGGTGCTAGTGTTACACGTATTTACATATGTACAAGGACCGGGAAGCAGCTCAATGCAGCGAAGCCCGTCCCAGCTCTGCTTTGAACTGGGAGATGGACTTCGCCTCCGCCACACTGGGCTCAAGTTCATTCCACTCCTTGATGGTGCGAGGGAAGAACGAGAGCCTGTAATAGTTGTTCTTACTCGCGATGGTCTGCAGCTTTAAAGCGTGATTAGTGCGGCGGGAGCATCGAGCTGCCGGGACGAGGGACGAGGTGTGGGGGACAGAGATGGTGTTGTGCAGGACTTTGAACATTGTTGTGAGCCTGGCCACTTTTCGGCGGTGTTGTAGAGATTTCCATCCCAGGTTACCTAGCATCTCAGTAACAGAGGCCGTGCGTCTGTAGTTGTTATATACGTACCTGGCAGCTCTACGCTGCACTGCCTCCATTCTACCTACCTGATCGGAAGTATGGGGGTCCCAAACTGGGCAAGCGTACTCCAGTGTGGGTCTGACTAAGGCCATGTAGGCACGTTGTTTGGCCTCCACACTGGCAATCCGCAGGTTTCGGCGCAGCATACCTAGCGTTCTGTTGGCTTTGGCCGTTACGTTGTCAACATGGGGGTTCCAGGAGAGGTTTGAAGTAATGGTTACGCCCAGATATTTGGCCTTACTTACCTTAGTTAGGGGGGATCCATGAAGGGTGTAGGAGTAGTTGATGGGTTTTTTTGTGGAAGGGACAGACATGACTTCGCATTTGGAGGGATTGAACTTCATGAGCCACATTGTCTCCCATTTACAGATATTATCTACATCATGTTGCAGTTTGTCACAATGTTGTGTCTCCCGTATTGCCATCTGCAGTATACAATCGTCGGCAAATAATCTTACCTTGGCGTGTATCGCGTGTACCGCGTGTTGTACTATTCGTTCTTAATGTGTGAACAATAAAAAGATAACAACGTACTGCGCCTACTAGTAGTGCTCCGGACATGTTTCTCGTGCAGGTTCGGGTACTGTCCGACGTGGCTGACGTCCGTTTTGTCCAGCTTGTCGGCCAGCCAGGGGTAGTTCTCCTGCAGGGCATGTCGGAAGGAGCGGTAGGCGTGAGGTCCTCTCAGCACCAACAGGTCCAACATGATCCACACCTTGTCTCGCCTGGTCGTGCCCGAACACGTTCTGTCCATGTCGTCTTCACTGCGGATATATAAAAAAAATGATAACAAGGCGTGCTAAAAGTATACATTAAACAAGAGTTCCGAGATCTTGTACCTCCGTGAAATATGGGCTCGATATGTAAATGTAAATTTCGTCCTTAATTATGCAAATGACCTCTACATTAACAGAATAGATGCATCGTGAAGTTAACTTTTAATTAACTTACACATATCCCAAGTTTGAAAATACCATCATTTACAAATTACCGCTAAGGAATCATAGAATTTTCAGATTAATTATGCAGATTAGGCCCGTATTTGCATAATTAGTATCCGTTGATGCCTGGCTGAGAGAATGACAGGATATTTCATAAATGTACTTACACTTACTGCTGGTTGTTGAGTATGTAATGTGTTAACTGTGTTTTATCCCGTATTACCTGTGTTCCTAAGAATACTTAAGAATCTGTGTTTCAATGAATCCATGTTCACTCTCATTTCTTTTATTAAGTATCGCGCGTTGCATTGGTAAGAAGACACGCTAGGTGGCGCTATTTTTGGATACCGCCGTCGACTATCTCCATATTTTCGTCTTCACTGAGGATAAAAATGACGACAAACTAGAAAATGCATGATGTTAAGCACATTACACAGGAACACCAACATCGGCTTGTTTCATAATTTTATCTTTTCACAACAAATGCCTTCTATCCAACAACGCCTATTCATAGTAAATGTTTCTTTAATACAGTACTGACGTCACCTATTCAAAATGGCAGCCGTCCTTGTACTGGAGGTCACGCCCCCTCCCCGAACAAAGTTCAAACGAGCCAAAGCCTACACACTGTTACATCTCTGTTGCGTCATACACGGAGTGACTTTCTCTGTCGTCTGTGTCTCCAAAATGTGAACTTAGTTCAGGCTCATCCTTCTGACTTACCGTTAAACATTACGTATAGAAACTTAAAGATTAGAAAGTTTTGCAGTTTGTGCCTCGGACATTCAATCGTCGCCACCGCCATGGCTCTGAGCAAGCCCAGCGGCACGGGTTTGGTCTACACCCCAGGCACGGTCAGGGGCGCCAAACTGGCAGCTCTGCTAGTCGACGAAGGGACTGCGGTTGTCAGGAAAATATTTGAGGACGAAGTCCTGAAAATGAATCCTCCAAGTCTTTGTGATCAGCTAAGGAAGCACAAGAGATATCTTTGTGGGTTGCGCTACTTAAATGCTGGTCAGAGGAAAACATTGTATCCAGCAAACGGCAATGTACCTAATACTGCACAGGGGTTTGACATATCCCTCTTAGAACTCCTGTTGAAAGAACTCGGAGCAAATGCGCCATACTCAGGCGAACGGGACAGACTCCGGCGGTTCAGAAACGACAATTACGGACACATTTCAAGCACGGACTTGTCTGAAGCAGACTTCAACAAACTGTGGGGGGAACTGGCTGGTATCCTGATTGCCCTCGGTGGAGATAGAGACAAGATTTCAGAAAGACTCAACTCCAACTTCGAACTGCTAGAGCGACAGCACAAGGAAGATCTGGAGGTCAAAGACCTGTTGCTAGCTCAGGAACGGAGTCTACGGAAAGGGCAAGAACAAGTTTTAGATCAGGGAAACAGTCTGCTAAAGGGTCAAGATCAACTTTTGGCCAAAGGAGAAAGTCTGAAAAAGCAAGGCGACAGTCTTAAAAGGGGACAAGATCATATTTCAAAGACACTTCTAGCTCAAGGAGAGATTCAGAAAAAAAGGCAAGAAGAAGTTTTGAATCAGGGAAAGAGTCTGCTAAATGGACAAAAAACGCTATTGGCCCAAATAGAAAGCCAGAGAAAAGAAAGTTTGGATCAAGGGGAAAGTCTGAAGAAAGAACATGGCGAGATAAAAAGTTTGTTAGAGGAAGTTCGCGATGCCTAGAGCCCAGGACCAAACTCCGGACAACGTGATGAAGATTCAAGTTCGAAGAAAGGTAAGATTTATCACAACAATTGTCGCAAGATGTGTGATAATGTTGTCACTGAATAAATGATATTTGAACATTGGACTGGCAATACAAATTTGGAGCCTATCAACCTCAGACACCCAATAGTTTTAGTAGGTCATCTCTTTCTGACAGGGTTTTGGCAGATTGAAGAGATTTGATGGAAAACCTCCTGAGTTGGAATGGTGAAACTCTCTGACTTGAAAGTCCGAAAATTGGACCGTCACCTACCTACCAGTCATGCTACTAACCTTTAGACGCATACATGAACAGTATTGTTTTACACCAACAAATTGTTTGCAGTATGATTAATATTTAATAATCTGCACACTATACAGAATTGGCTGACGTGGCTGATGACGTCATCGCCTGTCTTAAGGACCTGTACGCTACCGAGTATGCGCACGTGCGGCCTCTTCCGTGGTGCGAAGACCTCAACCTGCTTCTTGGAGACGTCTACACCAACCTGCAGCTCCAGCGTAGGGACGGTAGGGGGCGCTTTTGGGACACAGGCAATGTCGTTAGCTTATCTGATATTTACAACAATACAAAGGCAGGTGACGATAGTCAAGTTAGTTCAGCTGTCAGAAAGATACGTGTCGAGGGGGA